GCGGAAACAAGTTATGCCAGATCTATAACTAGGATCATGAACAACCTTCATACGTAGACTTTGACCAAAAAACTGCTGCGGAAAGTTAAGAACGGCACTTCCTTGTGAAATTTTTCTTTGCTCATTCTTTTGGAATTCGGAGGAGGAGAATGAGCCACAGTTTTGTATTCCACGGACGTAATCCTATATCATGCAAACAACCCGTTTCGAGGAAGCCGGGCATTTCCTGGAAGTCCTACTTCTTTATCACAGTAAACCACGAGAAATTAATCTTTTCATTCATAAGCAAATGATAACACGCGCTACAGGCAGATTGAGCATTTCACGTTGACAAAGTAAGAACAGAAAAGAAAATGCGAGGGTGGACATCTGTCATCGAGATTATTAAATTGCACATGGAGATCGGCGACTAGTCAAAGAAATGGAAAGGTGATCACTTTTTACCGAACCAAGCTATAATATGGCGTACAGAATGAGACCCTTAACAAATTTGTAGTGCAGTCAGTTGTATTGAATTACATCTAGCTACGTGGGAGGGGAAGGGAAGGATATTAGTTTGTTCGGTTAGAACAGAAGCGAAAGGATATTAGGTACATGGAGAGAAAAATACACGTACGAGAGCGTACAGACAAAGGAGAACACTATTTGATACACGTATAGTCAAAAGAAAGTGGACAGGTTGAGCTCAAAGGCTGTGTCCCCAACGCCGTTATGCATGCACCGGAGGTGCACCAGGTACTGGAGTCACCCTATAATGGAAATGGGCAGTGGTTTCTGAAACAACACCCATAAGTCAGAAGAGTACGCTACAGTCAGAGCTGTTCGACCCGTTCTCGACTGTCCTCAGATCCGATGCCACTGCCGCATTCGTCGCGATGCTCTTCGGCTTCAGTAGCCAAAGGAGCGTATTCTTTATTCCTGAAAAAAATTCCCTATGAACTATGCATGATTATTATAAAGGATTTGTTGGAGAAATTCTAATAGCTTCTGAAATTCGCATCAGCTACAGGGTCGCTTCATTACGTACCAAGCCTTCGCATCATTACGTACCGTGCTTCTCCAGGATGGTGCAACACCCATTTCATGAAATATGGTGAAAACGACGCCCTAGCACGGGGAGAGGAGGGGGTCTAACATTTGAAACAGGGCATATTGAAAACGCGCTAGTCACTATGCTTGCTGACATCTTCCAAGAAGCAGTTTTGGCTCTCATGAACAATCTCATCCGCGGCTTCTTGCTCGTCTGCGCTCCCTCAAATAGATGAAGTACGCTGGCGTGAAATAAAAAATGCACTGATTCAGGGATGAAAATGTTCTAACGCGGCTTCATTTAAACCATTTCTTGAGTTCGTTTCCTATGTTTTGTGGTAAGTGTTCTTGCGTTTACCTTTGCTCTATGGTGCGCATCTCTTTCACTGAGGGTCCTCTCTCACTGAAAGATCTCGAGCCGGTTGGTGGCGCGACCCCAGGTGGCGGATAGGGGGTAAATCGCGGACCAAAAGCCACCATGTACTTGCCCTGAGACGCAGGTGGATTCAGGGGATGGACTCCCTGTTTCTGTAGTGCTGTGTTGATTCATACCAGCTGTCTCCACTCAGGCGTATCCATGCATGCTTGCGTGTGTGGTGCGCTCTGTGTGTGTGCGGTTGGTATCCTGCATGTCGGCACAGCCAAAAGCTTGCATTCAAGTGGGAAGTACATGGGAGGCGATTCGGGGCCGCCTCCAAAAACTAAGCCCCTTGTTCCGCTCCAGGATAGCGTGGCTAACTACCTGGAGGTCTATCCTAGCCTTCAAGACAGAGCCTGGCAAGCTACTCGCGTAACCCTCAATATGCCGAAAACAGCAATATGGATGGGCCTCATTCCCCTGAACCTGAGGGAGCCCCCAATACGGCAGCGTTGGGTAGGACCGCTCGGGAGAGGCTGCTAGAATCTCAGGGCCCGGATAGGCTGCCTAAACGAAGAAGGACTAAGATGGCGATCTGTACTTTCAACGCACGAACGCTTGCATCCGAAGCTCACATCGAAGATCTGATGATGCAGCCAGAAGATCAAAGTAACGACTCATCGGACTGATGCAGCCGTCCCATTTCACGATATGGCCCCGTTTCTATACTGATGAAAACTGTTACCCCGACAGCAAAGAACAGACAACAGGGCGTTGGCGGTGTGGGTGTCCTCGTCAACACGCACTTGGCCATAAACATCGATTCGTACGAAAGCCTTACGACCCGAATCGGACGTTTGAGATTGAGAAGATGTGGTTCAACTCCTGCTTTGACAATCTTCGTCGCCTACGCACCAACATCCAGCTACGACGAAGAGGAACACGAAGCATTTTATATGGAATTGGAGAAGTTCTACAGGGAAGATCATACCTTCTTCAAGGTCATCCTAAACCAAGAGTCAGGATTAGGCAACTAGCAGAAGTTCTTCCCAGGGTGCGATAGTGTGGCTCCCAAGCACTGAGGGCGCGACACTATCGCGACCCAAAAGTGCGCGGCAATGGCGCTAAGGCCTTGCCCGCCGCGCTGCCCGCGCTGCCAGCGTAATCCACCACGGCATACGTGGTCTCTGCGTCCTCTCGCGTACGACGTACTATCTCGCGTTCTCCTCTCCTCGCAGCGCTGTGTCTCTCCGTCGTACTACGGCCGGCCTCCTAAGGGAAATTTAGTGTTTTCTATGGTGCTTTTTGCTTTTTCTCCTCACTAATGTTCCTCATTGCACCCCTTGCCTAATGTTTGAACAAAATAACGCATCAATTCAATCCCGACTCGTGCCTTTAAGGTCAATGCGAATGCAACGCTAAGATTGTTTCCAAGAAATATCTCTGTGAAAGGACCTTCACATCGGTACTCACGGAATGGATTGGAATGAGCAGGGCGAAAGACTGTCTGAGTTTATCAGACCGAGCACCATCCATGGTAAATCACAGTTCCAGAAGCGCTCTCAACTTCCGTTGGACTTTCACCTGATGGACAGTTCCAGATTCGTGTTGAGAGAGCAGCAAAGTTCAGGAAGCGAAGCTCCAGAACAGTCATTAAATGGGATCACTTCACTTCTCTTGTCAACTCATGGGAGGATTCCGTCATCGGAAAACATCGACGAGGAGTAAGGAGTAGCTTAAACCGGCGTCAAACCAGCTTCACTATTGTGGCGAAGGCAGAAGTTTGAAAGTCACCAAGGGACGTCTGTCTCCGGAAACTCTCGAACTGATACGCCAGCGTGGAGCCGCACGAGCTGCAGGCAATCACCGACTCACGTCCGAGCTTGCGAAGCTATGCAGAGAGGCGATAAAGGAAGATCTCAAGGAGCGAAGAGCAGCAGTATTAGCTGAAGCAGCAGAGGCTGGGAGGAGCATCCGCAATGCCCGCCGAAGCTTTGCCAGCTACAAGACCAAGATGACCTGCCTCCGACGTCCGGATGGAACAGTTACTGCATCCCGAAGGGCAATGGAGAAAGTCATCCACGACTTCTACTCGGATCTCTTCGATAGCCATGTCCATCTGCCTACTTATCAACTGCAAGAGGATGGATACGTTGTCCCGTTGTCCCCTCAGTTCTCTCTTCCGAAGTCCGACACGCCATTACGTCAGTGAGACTCGAACAGCAACCGTCGTCTCGGCAGAGGTTGAACCCGGAACATCTGAATAATGCACCGCCAGCCATCATAGATTTCGGCTCGGCTCTTCACACGTTGCCTGTCGGAATGCAAGTTACCCACGGAAAACCACCAGGACTGTGCTGGCTGTACAAGAAGGGAGACTTGGACGACATTGGCAACTATCGCCCAATCTGCCAGCTGACTGTAATCTACATATAATTCTTCCGAGTCATCCTTAACGGGATTGACAGAAGACTGAATAAAGGACAGCCATGCGAGCAAGCAGGGTCTAGAAGAGGGTTCAGCACGCGTTCCTGCTCAGTACATAAGAACTCTTCGTGAGCTCTACAGCAACTTTACGACCAGAATCTCACCATTCTACAAGGAGGTCATCATCGACGTCAAGAGAGGGGTTCGACAGGGCGACACCATCTCGCCCAAACTCTTCAGCGCCGCTCTCGAGAACGTCATGCGTCAACTGGAATGGGAAGACATGGGAGTGAAGGTCAACGGCAAACTACACCACCTTCGTTTTGCTGACGACATCGTTCTTATAACGCCGAATATCGAGCAAGCGGAGCGAATGCTGGCTAGTTTCGTCTGCGCCTGTGGTAAGGTCGGTCTGCAGCTGAACCTAACGAAGACGATGTTTATGAGAAACGGATTGGTTCCTGATGCCCCATTCACGCTCAACGGAAAGAACGTTCCCGAATGCTCCATCTTGCTGTTTTCATGAGAGAGCGAAACTCTTCAATACTCACCTCACTTTGTTGCTGTTTTTTCGTTGTAACTGCAGTTGAGTGAAATTAAAGTTACTCGCAGTAGTTGTCTGCTTGGTAATGCATAATCTGAAATTACTGATTCATGAGGCCCGGAATTCCATTCTCTCAATAAAAGGACCCCTTAAGATGTTCGCGACAATTTTTCCTATATATTGTTTTCATTATGACATGATTACTTGCTACTCGTTCCGGTAACCTCGTTGCTAATCAATGAATATGATTTTTTTCTGCCATTTTTTCTTCACCCATGTTCCATTTACTCTACGACGGGCTCTCTTTTCAAGGTAAACTCGCCTTCGAGTGCTTAACTCCTTCTTCTATGATGGAATCTTGCAGAATTCTGCTCTGTGCTCCTTTATGAATGTTCACTTTGTGACTGCTTGCGTTTTTGATAATAACTAGTTAACCATTTTATTACCCAAGTATGAGAGGAAGTGGCACCGTGCACCCTAACGGCGACTACCGTAACATGCGAACAGAAAAAATGATTTTCCCTCAAAGGACATGCGAAGTAGCGCAGAACTGAGCATGTGGATCTGCGCACTACAGTAGACGTGTAGCGCAGAACTGAGCATGTGGATCTGCGCACTACAGTAAATCGTGGAAACACAATTCACACACAACCACTACTTACTATCGCACACCTAAAATCCCTTTATCATTAAAATCTTTTTTTTCTGCCACTTGCATATCGTAACGTCAGCCGTATTTGGTGACCACCACTGGTTGGCTTGATTTCTTGAGGTAGGCAAACCATTTGCCAGAGAGTACGCTGCACCCTCACACGGCGTACAGCGTACTGCGTCATTAACGGAACCAATTGCGCTTCCCGGATTCCACAACTGAGGAACTAACTCTTGGAAAAAATTTTCAAGAAAACTCACGATTGTGCTCCGCTTGGCAGAAATACCAACCAAAATGTTTGCCGATAGCGAGACGACATTACACATGGGGGGGTGGTGAGGGTGGTGTCAATAACACGTACGAAATTTATCTAGGTATAGGAAGACTTCAGTGGAATGGATAAAAGGTCCAGGTACTATCACCGGCAAATAAATATAAATATCTGAATGACATTGCTCTTGTGTGTTTAAAATATGACACTACTAGGTCGGCACATAATTTCTTAGCCACAACAGCCCTTTACAATTATTGGTAAGGGAAACCTTCAGAGAATCATTGAAGCATCCCAACATGCTCCGCAACGTAGCACACACGCTCAATCCTTTGACATTAATCATCTGCTGCTTTTCTTAAGTAGAATTCCTGTTCCTTCAAACCATTTTTTCTGATGCTTTCCACCATGATTTCATATCAAGAGCAGCCTCCCACATCAACCAAATCATTGGCAGATTTTCCAGTGCGCAAGCGCTTAACTCGAAACTTACCATCAGCTCAGAGCTCTTCGTGGATTGTACTTACTTCAACTGGACACGAACTACGAGAGAATTAAACACTAAGGGTTCACTTTATTAGTCACCTGCAAGGGTGATCACACTACACAAACTGCGCTAATTCTCATCGCCATCAAACAGGATGAGTAGCCAACTGGAAGCATGCGGGGAAACAGTAGAATGGCATCGCTTCATAGTGTACTCATCGAGCTGGTGCGACTTTAGCAAATGTCACTCCACATCTTCGCGATCTTGCGAAGCTGTAAAACATTTGAGCATGGGATGGAATGACGTAAAACCTCCTCACCATCGCTTTGTACAACACGGCAGGTCGAGTTGCAACTGAGCAGATTAGCTCCCATTAGGCAATATTTCCCGAATCAACTGTGTGGCTGTGCTGTGGTGGCAGGGCGAGTGCTTTGGTGCCGTGTGGTTTGGGTCGAGCATGTTGCACCGGTGGTCCGACTACGGAACCCGACGAAACATTTACTAGTGTGTGTGCCTAAAACACATCGGAAGGGAGTGCATGCGCGCCGATTGCTGACGTCCATATCTCTGCCCTCGAGAGCAAGGCCTATTCCTGACCCAAGCAATTGATTTGCGCACTCGCGCGCGTGCGTTATACCTCCCGTGATTGAAAAGTGGAAATAGCTCGGATTCAGTAGCCAAATAGACGATTTATTCGACAAGACTTGAGGCGCGCAAAGTGCGCTAACGTTGGTGGTAAGCGAGTGAATAAACGTGTTTTAGAAACAATGAGAGAGAACATACTACTTAGATAGCTTCACGTGAAAGCAAGGGTAAGTAATAAACTACGAGAAAGTGGTACCTTGGAAAGGATTAAAGAAAGCGAATATAGAAGTGCAAATGTAAACTGCTATACAATAAACTATTAGAAGATGAAAAGATGTAGAATGTATTGCAACCACCACTACTGAGATATATGGATCGAGTGAGGTCCGACTGAAAACTAAGGTAATGAGTAGTCTTTGTGTGAGTGATGGGAGTATTTGAGCGATGCGAAGTTCACCCGTTTATATGCGCGTAGGAACTGAACATATGAAGGTCTTCGACAGCCGACGTGACGACAAACATCTGCAGGAGCTCAGCATCATTGCAACATGCGAGATTGCGCCTGGTATCGCAGGCGATTTGAAGGCGACAGACAACATAGAGTCTGCGTCACTCTTCGCAACAAGCGAGTCACGTGTCATCCTCTCGGTGCATAACCTATAAAGCATCTTTGCTCGAACTCGCGCCGAGTCACAACCTTCCACCTCCTAGTTGATGCTCTGTATAAGTTAACGTACCGACTCGGAGCGGAGTTCATGGAACATAAGGACTGAATGAGCTTGCCACTCGATGCAACGGCCATAACAACAAACCGAGCACAGGAACTTCCACTTTAATATTGAAGGGGAAATTGCACACCTTCTCTAGCGCAGAATTTCTCGATTCTTGGGGAGATGCAAAATAAAACAAACGCGTAGAAAATTAGAAAGTATGGACCGACCTAATGCAGATTCAATAACGAAATACTCACTTATGCACGTCTGTAGTAAAAATGGCACACAATATGGAGATGATTCCCTGAGGCAGTTCTGTTATCAAAAACACAGCCAAGATCACAACCAACATCGTTGTTGTACGGTCTGATTTGTATGACTTCCTAGAAAAAATTGCAGGTTCACATCGGTATATGCAAGAGAGGTAGCACATGGCATCGTCAACGTGGTATGCCCCAACAAAGCCCACCTTCCCTGGTTTATAGGGCTGCCAATAAGCTGGTCATCACAAAGGGGAAATGCCCATGAGACCTGCTCAATCCCGAGCTCTTCGCTTGTATAGTCAAAAAAGGTGGGGAGCCGTTCGTCTTCCAGGTAAGATAAGGTTGCTCTAGCGTCATGCTGCCCTGCATGACAAGAGAACGGAAGACCAAATCTCATGTTGGCGAAACTCACTTTTTCCCGGACGTATTGCTGTCACAGGAGTTCACATTGTTCATGCTGACATTTGTGAGCTTCCGTCGATGTTGCTCGGCTTGACGAATCTTATTAACCAGACCTACGCTGAAGAACATCAGTAGTATACATGGAATAACCTGAAAAATACAATTTTGAGCACTTTAGACAAAGGTGGCAGCGAACAGCTGCGCTCCATTTCTAGTTTAAATCGGCTCAGCCTAGAAAAAAAGCCCTTCATACCAAATGTACTGTGAAGAAAATACTGAAGGATACGCTGCCCAAGTTTCAACATTATTTGATCCTTCAATTCATTCGATATATCACCTTCCCTGAGGGTGGATTCCGCGATGAGTAGGCAGCTTGGAAGTCATATGGAAGATGGTCACTGATGCACGAAAGAAGGACAGCAAGATGGTCTACAATCTTGGGAATGGAAGCCTTTACTTGCCCGCTAATCCTCATTGATGCGACCCTCACGTGTACTGCCCTACTTAAACGCTTACGCTCTTTTCTACGCTGAACGCTTAGAGCTTCTACGCTAGAGACTCAACACAAGATAACGCATGGGAGTAGTGGAGGTCGCGTACCGCACCAGCTGCGCAGCGGGAATGACATGCTAAATCACTCAGATCCTTGATGCGAATTGCGTGTCGGTCCGTCTATCTCTGTGCTAGGTAGGCTTCCTTCCTCAAACTTCGCCTTTATCGAGGAATCCTTTACGTCATGTTCTTTCTTTCTTTGAATTCATTCTTTCATTTCGACCTCGGGTTTCCGGTCATTCGAATTCTCCATGGTAACAACTCTTGATTTGGACTTATGGTTAAACATATGTGATCAGCAATGTGGTGGAAACATATCAAATCAAGTTCAATTGCAGACGTTGAGTACTACCACTAAGGTTCTATAATGATACGAGGCACAGTTGAATCGAGAAAGATAATACCGATATGCACTCACTTTGAACACGAGTCCAATCATCCATATATTCAACTTGAATATGCTGCAGTTATTCGCTGTAGCCGCTTTGCTGACCTGAAAAAAAATATGGATGATCTTTCATCTACAAAAAATGAAAACCAGTTGCTGAAATAGGTTACCAGCAAAGGAGTTATTACAGAGATCCTTTCACGAATGAGTTCCCTAGAATACCAGGAACCTCCCCTTTTCGCTTCCGTCTCTCTTCTCCTTGCATATCTCTAACCATAAGAGCTGTGGTAGAGCTCAGAAACAATGGCATTAGGCCTTCCCTTTCTGGCCTGGCTCTTGTCCACGTCTTCCTATCGCTACCCTCTTATCTTTTACCGTCAGAGTCTGTGGACATGATTTCTTTCTTACACCATTCGCTTCGACTGAGCCACAGATCAGCTGCAGGGAGAGGGCTGTTCGAAAACATGCTTCTTCTCCACTGCTGGGTCACACCCTTCCTGCAGCGCAAGTAATAACTTCGTATAGCATACATTATTCTGCTCAGCTGAGGACAGCTAAGGTATTAGATGTACTTGCCTAGGAGAATAGTATGAATTAGAGCAAAATTGCTAAATTGCCTTACAACCCTCAGGCTTAGTCGTCGTAAGGAGGAATACGCAGAGGTGAACGCTCGTGTGTATTGGCTGCTGCGCATGAGCGTCCCCAAGAGTATCTCAACAGAGTGGCCCTCTAAAGCAAAAGTTTCACGTGACCATTCCTAATGTTCGCCAGGCCCCGCCATGTCGCCATCAAAATTCAATGAATGGAACGACCGTAAACGTGTATATTGCTCGGTTATTTGGGATAGAGTAGGCGCACTGTAGGCATGGTTCCCACAGACCTCTTATTAGATCGTCGAATTTCATGCACGAACAGGCTTGCGGATACACACACGCGCCACGACTATATAATTGCAAACAAGTTAGCTTCCACGCAAATGTCGGACGTTGCCATGAGCTAAAATGGCTGCGTGAATGGCGAGCACTTAAGTTTTGCATACAACTAAGCAAAACCTAGCAGATCAATGAAGTATTCAAGAATCACCATGTACCCAATTTCTTTCAAAGTCGTAGCGCGAACTTCAAATGATGGCCAGCTCAGTTACACTAACAAAGGAATCAGCACGTCAGACAGTGAGTCATTCATCGATTTGTGTTTTTTTTCCTTCCGGAACAAGCGATTTCAAATTTTCTGTTTCACGGAATGTATTGGGTTAAGACACGGGTAATATCCGCTTTTTTCAAGCCCTCGCCATCTTTCTCAAAATCGGTACATACTGTTCTCAACAGTGCGTTGTGTAGGGACTGACAGTTATTCATATGTTGAATCAGAGTCGTCTGTAGTCAGCTCTAACGAGTACTGTCTATTTCCAAGCATGTTCACCACCCGCTGACACTGACCAGTCTCTCCTAGACAAATCGTGAGAGTTTGTGTTGTAGAAGTACTTGACTCGCAAAGCTAAATAGAATGGCCCGTGGAGATTGCCATAATATTCGAGAAAGCAATCAGTCTTGGAGTCCAATTAGGTCAACTAGGTCTCTGATTACAGCGAGCTCTGGCATAGATAAGCAGTCATTTTAGAATGCTCTACTTTCCGCCCTCGTAGCTGTCTCATGACAATGGCAGTCACCGGTAGCCGCCGGATTTCAGTCAGAATTTGGTCACGTTTCACAAGAACGCTGGGTTGTGAACGAAACTTTTACCCCACATCAGGGACTTCGAACCCGCACCCCTTGCTCGCAAGTGCGCAACAGGTTACGCCACCAGAGCACCATTTCGTCTCAACTCAGCTCTTCATGGTGTACCTACCATACCTACCATTCAGTTTGCCAGCACTCACACGTAAAACATCTTGGGCCGGTTAGCCAATATTGGCAATGACAGGCTCTAGCAATGAATTTTAACTTTCTTCACACAAAAAGAAGTCAGAATTTGAACAGTTTTCTCTCCTGAAAAAAGTCCTTATACCCTTATTCATCTAAGCCAGCCCTGTGCACAGGAAGTCTTCATCCACTTAAATTTTGTTGACGAAAAAATCTCCTGACTTCAAAATTTCAAGATTTCAAGAATTTCAAGAGAAAGAGTTGGAAAAGTTTGCCCTGAACTTATTTCTGCAAAGAAATTATAGTCCTAGCACGATACGTCTTTCCAGCCCATTTATCGCCATTTTGTGATATTTATCCCACGACGCAACACTTCTCACCGAATTCGGCAAAAACCCGTGCATGGGTTGTCTTCAGCACACCGAAGTGGAGTGGAAGAGTGGAAAGCAGAAGATATATAGAAAGAACCGAAAAAAAGATGGCTGTCCTGAGGGACCAATGGCATGGCAAAGGCGGCTGCTATCGCCGCAGATTCCAGCGCTTAGTCAACGCGGCGATTTGAAAAATCGCCGGTAGCGAATGGGTTAAAGGGATCGACCACGGGGAAGTCACGCTTAGGCCGATGTCATAGTTTGCGAATCGAGCGATTCGCTAGCGAATCGCTCGATTCGCAAACTATGACACCGGCCTTATATCTAGGCCATAAAACATCATTGACTAAACCCATAATGACGGAAAACGTAAAGACAGAAAATGTTCTATTTAAGTGAACTGTTCGGAATTTTTTTTGAGCTCTGAATCGGAAGGACTTTGACTGCCGTAAGTCTTCACAATTCTGGTGACTTAATTTATACACTTGGCTCTCTGAGTGCCTTAGCTGAGATTTCTTTTTCACCTTTTGCACCTAAGGCAATAGCAGTTCTATCGCATTCTATTCTTTCAATCGTTTCGTCTCTATTCTCAAAATTCGAGAGCTTCAACCCAATTCTTTTAACAACCTTTTTCAAGGTGACTCTCTATGTGTTCTCTTTCTCTCTCAAGTGCCCGGCCGTCCCAGAAGTGATCCTTCCATGATGTTTTTCCTCTTCGCGAGAATCTTCTTGGTCGTTACTTGTAATCGTCTTCACTTGATCACAACTACGTCTCATGTCGGAAAAAATGCGAAATTACGCGAATGTTTCTTTAAGTGTTGCCGCTGTACCCACCTAACGACAGGAAGAGAATCAGGAAATGGTCTAATGAACAGAACAACTGTTTTTTCTTGCACTTTCCTATCAACTTCGAAGGCTGTAACTCACCTATTCAATCGAGTTACCCGTAGCGTCATTCGCCTAATTAAATCCATCCCGCATCTCTAACCACAGGTGACTTGGGTTATGCAATGCTAATCTAAGCATCACTGCCATTGCAGATACGCACACCTATGAGTAACGTTTGGGCTACTGTAAAAAATACAGTATTGAACGGAAGCTACAGTATATAATACATCCGTCTGCTTTAGAAAACCAGAAGTGCGTCGAATGCAGACCACATACCACAAATGACCACGGCGTCCACAAAATGCAAATTTTTTTTAGCATGAAATGGTTAAGCTGTTGGTTAAAGGCAAACTCCGGGATAAAATGAGAGAGTTCTCGTGCTAACTCAACCAAACCTCAATAAAAAAGAGGCTACCCCGAAAAGGACTTAAATAATGACGACCACCTCGTTAGTTACTTACAAGCCAGGGCTGGGAAGATTACGGGTCTGAACATGCTCACAGCAACTGCTGGCTACATGCCAACAACCGACACGTCCATAAAAATCAGCTATGGAAATTAATTTCTTTCTAAGTTCTCTATTGTTTCAGCTTATTTCTGCTCCTTTATTTGTTTTTCGCATTTCAATCTTTTCTTCCTGTATTGAATTGCAAAGTTCCCGATAATGGCGGTAAGATGTACTTCGAGGTGGAGGTTGGCGGTCGAAATCCGCAAAATATCCTCCTACGACCTTCCAAACAACGGCTTTACATCTATGTTCCAAGTGTTGTTTGGAAGGTTGCGTGGAACAGTGGGCGGACTCAATGGGGTTGGGGCGGCGCCAATGCTCCAACCTATGCGCCTAGCGCCTAAACCCTATCAAATCACCCCGTCACTTCCGCACATGGTATGCGCTTGCGTAGTGCTGCATATTCGACGGGAAAAGCTAATTTTCGATCAATTATCCCGAACTTTGCCTTTAAGCTGTTACAGTTATATTCCATTAGTTCCATAATTGCAACCTCTGCCCGAACAATCAGCTACAATATAACCACATTGCCGAAATGTTACTTGAAGCGTGTCATTGAGTGTGTTGCCTGCACTGAGACGGCTTTCTGGTCTGCTGAAACAGACGCTACACAAAAAAATCATGTCGTTTTGTTGGCTATTTTTCTGAAAAGTGCACTGCTACAGAGGCATCATTGATAACAGAAAAGTGCATCTATGACTTGATTGAATTAATCCACTGTGTTTCATATCGCCGATAATCAGGATAATTGGTAATTGGATAAATACATCGTTCGTTGAAAGCTCTATTTTGAGATCCGCACAGATACAATTTCCTTTGAAAAATTATGTTTGAGGGTGTGTTTAGCAGCACACTGGCTCAGGGTTCAGATAATAGGCTGCAGTAGGACTAACATGCAGTGCTTTCTCAGAAGAGCAGTCAATTGGCGGCTGCCTTAAAAGGCAGCGGTTACGCTAGGTTTGAATGGGGTTTAGAGGGGACGAGGGGGTCCTCAATGGTACGTCAGTGGCGAAAGAAGCAGCGAAATCGGTCCAGGAAACGAGAAATGGGACCCCCTTTTGGGCCGTTTATTGCGGCTCTCAGATGGACTGCGGCGAAGACCGCGCACGCGTGGACGAGATTGCGCAACGCGTGCTGGGCAGCAAACAGCAGGCATGGCGCCCTAACCGCGCTGCGGCTGGCAACACGGCTCGCCCAAGCCACCGATGAATCATGGGGCGGGGCGGCGCATGGGGCGGAAGGGCGCAATGGTCCTGCTCAGCAACCACAGCACTGTTCGCAGTGCAAGCGCCACACATCGCTTCCTTGGCGGCCTGCTAGTTGCTCTGTGGGGAGCAGGTTCTCCGCAGATGTGAAAATTCCTTTTCGTACCCACTCAAAAGGGACGATTCACGCTGGAAGGCAACCCATTTCAAATTAACTTAGGGTGGTGATTGGTACACGAAAGAAGGAAGAACCATGAGAAACGGCCCAGAACCCGAGAAATGGGACCCCTTCCTCCCCCGCTGATTTGCGCATTGATGCGACTCTTATCGCTGTGCCCTCCTCAACATCACGCTCTCTCTGCTATCTAATCAATCCCACGTATAGATCTGCGGCGAGTGATCAGCTGGTCGGTGGGCGGAGATCGCCAGACCGCCAACTTTGAGGCATAATAGGTCGCCGAGGTCAAATTTTTCGATGCGAATTGCGCATCAGTTCGCACCCTCAGGAGGTCCGTGGGTCCCAACTAGGTAAATTACTTCTTCCTCGACCTCCATTCTAATCGTGAAAATCCTCCTTTAAAGGAGAAGGTGTATAATTTTGAATTCAGCACAGTGAAA